ACAAATTAATGAAGACAACAATCAGTCTTTTCTTTATATATGACACAATATATTTTATTTATGGAGAGTTCTAGATGTATACAACATTGTCAGCAAAAATGGTTTTAGAATAAGATCTTCAATGTGTTATACAACAAAACAAGACCGTTTTAATAAAAAGAAAAATTACATGCTTCATTTACAAGATTTTTGAGACATTCATTCATTGATTGAGAAGTATTTAGATAGATACAAGATTTTTGAGACATTCATTCATCCATTGAGAAGTATTTAGATAGATGAATATTTTTGCTTTTCAAATATGATATTAAACATTTACTTGTATTCTGTATTTAATTGCATGTAAATGCAGAGTATAAAGTAAATGTAGATGTGTATGCTTGATTCATCTGCAAATGTTTAACAAGTGCATATTTATAAAAATTTTGATGGTGATTACATAGTTGGCTAAATGTTATTTTATGCTAAAAATGTACATATGTGAAGTAATCGTTTATGCATGCCTTTTAAAGTTCCTAAATATCTAGGTACAGGAGGATTTCCCACTTAGTGAACCCAAATCAAATATTACTCTGCTATGTGCACAAATATTTGTGTATGATCGAAAATATTAACCTCGGTGTTAACGTGATATATCACTGATATAAACTTGTAGGCAACTGAATTCTCTACAGATGGCTGCATACGTTTATTTCTAATGTCAAAATCTGCTTCTTTTTGCCTCCCGCAAATTTTTGATAGGTCGGTATGTAATTTTACATCTGTTTTGACGAACCCTGCCACGAATTAACACCTTAATCGTTTAAATATTGCAATATTATATGTTTTAAGTGTGACCCGAGATGGTTAAAAAGTCAGTAAGTTTATGTTGACAACCCGTAGACTTTAAACAAGACTAATTAACTGTGTTATACCAGCTGGTTACTTCAAGATTTATCTAAATAATTACCCCGTATTTATAGCAAGATAATTTGTTGATATTTAAATCAAGTGGATGTTGATAAACCCCACTAGGAGTAAACACCAAGTTGCATAACTTGAATGTAATAGCTCAGTAAGGGGCGCTATTGATACTTCTGGTTTAGGTCCGCACTTAATTAGCATGGCGTCAATTTCAAAGTTGTCGATATCTGATGCCCTTGGTTTTTTGGGGTTTTTTTTTCAGGAAAACCTTCTTTTTGCATAGTATTGGATTTCTATCATATGCTTTAAAAATGTATGCTATAGATACAACATTTCCGTCAGCTTTCCTTGTGTTTTTAATCTTTTGATATAATGATGTGTAATCTTAGGTCAGATTTTATAATCATCATCTAATATCATCATATTGTGCTCAGAACTCATCAAGATATTTTCACTTCGTTTCTGTCAATATTCACAGTCCGAAAATTGATCAGAACCAGTCGCCATATTTCATCACTTGACGTCTGGTTAAGGGAGAAAATGAATTATGTGACCTGTATGATCTTGACAAACGTCAATAAGGATTGAAGGGGTTGATGCACGTCTTTAAGGGGTCGAAATAATGATCTTAGGGTCAGATGAACGGAAAAGAAAGTTAACGAAGCCCACAATAAAACTAGGAGATGACTAAATTAATGTTTCGATTATAGCTGTTATTAACTGGGAAATGACTGTTTTATAATTGCCACCATTTTGTTTTTCTGCTTCATTTGATGTTTCAGTTTAAGAATTATTATGGTATGTACATATATTGAAATTTCAAAAGACATTGTGCATTTCTAGATTAAAGGATTATTGTATAAACGTTTTCACCTGAGATCTTTTCTAAAATCAATTGCAATTCCTTCCGCCTGTTTCAAACCGTTTTTGAAGTAAAAGATCACAAAACAGCACTTCATGCAAGAATTTTCCCTTAAATATCAATTGATCTGATTTATTAGAATAACAATGCTAGAAAATAATGGTTGTTTCACTTTAACTGATAATCAACGTCTGCTTGCACCAACTTTCATTTCCGGTAAAAATGATTCTTATCACCTTATTTCCTTCGATATGTCGCGAGCCACGCGGGAAAATACAGCAAGTTATGCATCATATCAATTAAAACGTCTGTTAAACGACGGTAATTGCTCGAGAAACCGCTCCTTCCTTTCACAGAAGAGATGAGGAAAGATTGTGGTTATTGTAGAAATGATACATATTGTTTAAGGTGGCGTTGATTCTAACGATATTGTAGAAAATGGTGGAGATAGAACTGATATTGTCAGTATAATAGATTATAGTTATTGACAATTCTCTCGAAATAATGGAACTTTGTGACACTTTACATTTATCCTTATACCATTCAATTTAGATAGAAATAACGCCACCATAGACTTTCATTAAATACAAATTCCAACGATGTTTTCAAAAGATGTTCCGAAAATCAGAGAATCGTTGGCGATAATGAAAATATAGACCTAACAACAGACGTCTCATTATAGACCATGTGAAACATGTGAATTTGCATATTTTTGTTATGGTTTTACTTATCAGTTGCTAATAGTTACCTATTCTGATAGATAATATAAAGCTTTTAATACATTCACTTCTAATTATTCGCTTCACAATAAAATAAATAAAGCAAAATTATCCATTTACATAAAAATACAAAAATCACTAGATAATTATAGAGAAAATACAATTATAGAATCATTTCATTTTCTGCTTCATGTGTTCAGACTAAAACCAATTCTAATTATTAGATTTGACGTTAAAGGAGGTGTAAAAACCACCATTAGACCTAAACAGAAACGAAGATGGACAAATTGATATTTGGAATATTAACAAATCTGGTGAAAAGATTGAGTCGTCTGATCAAGTAAAATAAAATGTTTGAAATGACGACCACCGGTTGTTAACTAACTAAAGCGAAGCATTTTAAATGAACCCTCTTACAAATATCATTTGATTCTAAGATAAATGTTGTCTTAATTACGTCATCAACAAATTTATGACGATATAAAAGTGTAATGGAGAGATACAGGCAAAGATGGTAGCTCACTCGTATCACTGCTGGCTTGAAATTATACTTTCTTCTTCGAATTAGTTGTTGTGACGTCATGGGGTTTTAAGATAGTTGACGTGTGACGCAATAAATTTTGAAATGATGTAATACAGAGGAAAGATAATTATATAAGTAATTGATATATTTGTCAGTTAATTCAACTTCCGTTAAAAGATAACAGAAAAAACACAGGGTTTTGAAAGAAGCACCTGTCAGGATAGAAGTTACACAACATGTAGATTTCAAAAACAATAAACGTTTCCATATCATAGCTGGAAGTATGTGTGTAGCCATATTTTTGAATACCCAAATCATTAATCACTGAGGTAGTTCTGTATTTTCTTACTGAAATGAAAAATTACTTCTTCTTTAAATACCAATAAATCTCGCGATAACTCTCGTTGGTTGAATTAAAATCTCACGGGACAAAATAACCGCCATCTATATCTAATCGACATCTGAAATCTTACATGCTCACAAATCATTGGAAATAGTCCCAACAGAAACTGATCTACTCGGTTGAATTACAGTGTTTAAAAAGCCTCTAACTGACCATGCTTCATTGAAATAACTTGCTATAAGAGAGATTCAGAAGCGAAGAGTCTCGTTGATAAGATTATACATCCCAGTGTTTTAGTACAATCGTAGTGGAGTAGTACTGTTGTATTCTATACGATTTTCTTTTTAAAAAAAAATACAAATGACATGACTTTAATTGACTGAATAATGGTGCTATGCTAGGCATGCCATCTGCTAACTTTAATATTGTAAGCATTGTAGGTCATAGCAATTGGTATGTCGAAGATCTAAAAGCACCATATTTAGAACAGGTTGGAGATCGATATAGAGTAATCCTGTTGGCTAAAAGAAAACACTGAAGGGATTATTAAGCAATAAAACATCTTAATAATACTTCTAACACTGCTTCATAATGTCTTAATGACTATAAGCTGGATAATCTTGTCTTGAGAAATCTAGATTAAATCTATGGATGTTTAATATTGTTTGTAGATTTGGTAAGATTTGAGATCGAGTAATTTTGAAATTTGTTCCAAACTGTAAAATAATTTGTTAATCTAGATTGTTTCTGGAAATTCATGCACAATTTTTCACTTAGAGAAAGAGCATTATGAAAGATATTAAGTGAAGTTCCTCTCTGGTACAGAAATAGCTAAATTATTAATCAAAATAGCGACTCTTTATTATGTTTTCATTGTATTTTACGACTGACGACATCTAGTTAATGGAACCATTAAGCCCGATTATTTCTTCAAACAGTTATTATTTTAATATGGTCGCCATGTTTAGATAGCACCGCCATCTTTGATCAGCCATCTTGATTCCAATTTTCACCTCATAAAGTATTGATAGAGACGTTATAGCAATTAATATGACATTCTCATTCTGACTCTATATTAATCACTTGTACGCCATTAGACTAGGCCAATAGTACTATAGGTTTAAAATACAAACTAAACAACAATGGTTAAAATACAACGTCGTCAAATCTTTATAAAATATAATACAACCATTTCCAGTTTTTATGAGACACATATTATTAAATAGTAACATTCACGATTGCAGTCATACATTACAGAAATCGCTATATAAGTAAAAGGAACCAACTTATATATATTTCGACCTAATAATATTTCCGTAATTATCAACTTGTGTGACAAAGGCAAATAATTCTTGTTTTTAGCCTGCCTCGTTATGATTTAATCAGTTCCGGTCCACCAGACTGATGGACTGACACACACAATAACCTCGTTTTGACGAGCACGTGCTGTTTGATGTATTTTTATTCTTTTATTTGTTAATAACCAACAATAATATAGCCTAATAACTCATCATAAATCATTCCGAGACACAGTTATACTCTATTTACCGTATTATTACTAATAACATGTCGCTGTTAATCTCTAACAAATAACACCTACACCCTCTCCTAAATCTAGTAATTTTTTTTCTTTTTTTTTTCCATTTTCAGATTCTTCCTCAAATTCTTCATGAAATGTAACCAGAATTGTTTAAAGAATGCCGGTAATCCACGAGATATGAGACGTTTTCAGGTTTGTACTTACTTTAGACACATCTGAATTTTAGGTTACCGGAAGTAGAATAAATTGTTTCTCTATTTTCTTTGTGTCGGCAAAGAGACATGTTGGTATAATATTTGTTAGATTGAGATCGTATTAAGCACAAAAAAAATCATTACTTCCCACACAAGTTCTTTCCTATAAACATGTGTTAATGGCTTGCTTCAGTAAGTTGATGATTAAAACATCTTCATCATAAAGATAAGAATTTCTCTTCAATTATTAAACCAAACTTCATTAAAACTACATCAAAATATTCACCCATAAAAAAAGTTCTTTTGCTTCTTTTTTCAGGAAGATTCTCATGCTTTTGATTTATTTCAATCAAATTTTACCCGAATTCCAACAAACTCAGTTGCAATTCCTAATAAATGTTCGCTTTTTTAAACCTTCAGAAAAAAAGAAAATTATCTCAGTAATTGTGACAATAATATTCGTGATTCATAAGAGTAATTAGATCAAGATTGAAATTGTCACGTGTATCAAAAATGTGTCCGCCTGGCTACTTTGTGTTGGCCTGGTAAGAAATTCTTATTAATATCTAAATATTGAATTGATATTATAGTAAAAGGGATAAAATTGAATAAATTTTGACATCTAATTCGTCAACCTGTCTCTTCGACCAGCAATCGAGTATTTCTTTAATTCTTTATTCATCTTAAAAGACATTAGGTCACGTGTTGTCAATAGTATCACGTGATGTAGTCACGTGCTTTTGTCGTTACTGGTCTAATTTGACATGGTGTTCCAACTATCAATTTCTAATGTGGCCTTGTCATCATTATACCATATCAGTTGTAGAAATTTAAAAAGTAAAACTCCATTTTATCTTATTTCATTATGCAGTATCTTGCATTAAATACTGGCTATTCAACTATCTACATATATACAATATATTACAGGTAGCAGTATCTACATCAGTGGCAATCGATGGGCCATTATTAACTATCTCAGATAATATGTTTGTACACAACAATTCTAAACATGGTAGACGGGCTAGGCGATTAGATCCTACTGAAGGAGGTGAGTCTTTACAATGATTATTGTCTTAGTTAGTCTTCGTTTCTCACATTTACGACCAAAGTTGTCTCCCTTTGCTGCAAGTACATATCAATAATTTGAGCCTGTCTATTCTATACTTACATATATGCCACTCATGTGTATGTCAATGTATTTTGCAAACACAGAATCGTCATTTGTGTGTGTTTTATGTTTTAATCAGTTCGTTTCCAATTATTCATTATTATTAAACAAAAAAATTCAAATGCGGACACCGCGACGGTCGTGATAAAACCTGAGAAACAACAATTTCAATATGTTCACTTTCGGTGTATGTTTAGTGACTTATTTTAGATATTTCAAACTTTTAGTATTCAGTCTTAGTGTCATCTAGTCTTACTCATGACAATTGGGTCGCCATTTTGGATTAGTTTCCTTAATTATAATCACAATACAAGTCTATCAAAAAGCGCGGGAAGCCAGCTGTTAAGAAGAAATATGTCGTCTGCCCATCTGTTAACTTTACTTTGAATAACATCTGGATTCGCGTGTATTTGAAGTGTGCATACTCTTAATATTTTTTGCCTTTCTTGGAAAGAGATGAAAATTCATTTCTTCGCTCGATTTATTGATTTAAATTGAACTAGCCTATTCGGTTTATCTTGAGTGACATTACCAAAAAATTAATTCAAATTGATATCTACCATCCATGACTTCAGATTCAAACTTATAAATTTGTTGACATCAAATTATATTAAAACATATTTTATGTTCAAATTTATGATTGGAAATGAAGACAATGTGTCAATTAAAGTTGATTTTAATTATTATTATCTTCATTTGTTCCACAATTAATGGACACTGCACGACTCATTTCAAACACTCAATTTCTTCTGGAGAGAATATTTATAGGTTGACGGATTGAACAACTAACTCGCCTTAAGACGAAAGCAGTCGTAGATTTGTAGTGGAAATACATTATCGTTGACGTGTCTCTGGAAGACAGTTCGACGATTTCATTAAAATTTCAGTGCGCTAATTAATACTATAGGCACGACCATCTGGGACTTTATTAAAAGCTTTCCACAGACGACATAAAACGACTTCTGAATGATCCACAATATTTACACTGTGTTAAAAATGTCGCGCCTGAATAGCCTGATCTTGTTCGTTTTGCACCCTATCTTTAGCCACTCTGTTTGTAATTCAACAACTGTGCTGTTTGTTTATAGTTATATTTGGACATACAACATAACCTTACAAACGTTTGAATTAAGTTCTTCTCAGTTTTGAGTTAATAGAAAATTGATGACTATTATTATCTTTTTAATTGACTTTTGAAAAATATTGTTCTTTTATTCATCTGTATTGCGCATTATGGTCTATTTCTTTCTTTCTCTATAAGGTCGATAAAATCAAATGACTTATATCTGTTGCATGCTAGTCTTCTATTGAAACATTGTTCTTGTATTTTAATTAGATATGCATGGTTGCTAATAGTAATAAATAATTGACTTGTGCTATTTGATTGGTAACCATGCCACTTGGTTTTCAATGTTCAATCACTCGAATATTTTATCTTAAACTCAGGGATACATTTATCCACTCTTATCCACCTTTCAAATTTGATTGATACAATAATGAGGCATATAATTTTTCTTCTGAAAGTACAATTTGAATACGATACATGCCGAATTTCATAAGTCTGGAAAATCTGGACAAATTTGTTACATTGATTAAAACCTTTATGGTTATTTTTGTTAGGTTATCCAGCAACTACCCTGTATTCAGACCCAGTGTATTCAAAAATTCAAAATACAAACAGAAACCAAGATGGTTGGTACAACGACATTTTGTTTCTTTTCTTTTTTTTATTATTTTAATAGTGTTGACAGTTATTTTTTCTTGAAACAAATTTTAACTGCTTTAAATGATGTTTTTGTGTGCTTTTCCCCAGTCTTGCGTTTGTGTAATCTAGAACTGCTTTGTTAATGCAAATTTGAATCTGGAATTAAATTTGCATGTATTGTGTTTTATTTTAGCAAATTCAATGGCAAACATCAAGATATTTATTTACAATATAACTCTTGAATTTTATCAATATATCGTATATAGGTTTTATATTTCCAGCAACTCCTTGTATTAAAGCTATTTGCCCTAGTGAAGGATGGACTAGTGGTGGTACAACTGTCATTATAATTGGTGATAACTTCTTTGATGGTTTACAATTGGTGTTTGGTACCATGTTAGTCTGGAGTGAGGTAAGTTATATGTCAAATTGAAATATTTGAAGAATATTCAATGTTTTGGGGATTTCATGTCTATGTCAATTTATCAGCTTCAGGACTTCATCGGCTGTACTTCAAAATATTACATCAATATGAATAATATGCAATTTTATTTAAAAACTTTAACGACCCCTTCAATAACCTCTTTGTTAATAACTTTGACCCTTTTATTCCGCCCAATATGGAGGGTTAAGGAAGGAATAATAGATTCCATTTAGAATGTATAACCAATAGAAAATCGGTACTTTGATGTGACTACAAAGTGTTAATCTTTTATATTGTGTTGAATGATTGGTTGTTGAGACCAGCGTATTAATACCGGTAATACGTGTAATTAGACAAGAGTCAAATATCCGCCGGATTACCGCTCAATTATATCTTTCACCATGCACGCGTTAGTGGAATATAACACCTTGAAAATATCAATTTATGGCAATCTGTAATGGTCTGGATGATTGGACTACTGTATATATTTGAAGAATCGTTCAGATATTGATTATTTTCTAATATAAAGGTGTACATCGAAACAGAAAAAAGTGTGGATTTGTTTCTGTTTAGATGAGATTTCTAACTTGAGATCATGTTTCAATTGTAATTACAAGCTAAAAGCTTTCCATCAATTTCAAAATATCCCGCCTTTGTTTCATGATTAAATCTGCGATAAACGAAAGATAATTTTAAGCCTTGGAACTATAACTTCGGTTAATACCAGAACCACGCCTATACCAACTGTTAGATGCAGTCTTGATTTTCTCGTCTCTTTCCTTGTTCAGTAAATGGCAAGCATTATCGAGAAAATTTTAATGAGGATGTTAAAATTTAGAAATCTGTAGTACTAATTAATTCAGTATTGCATCTCAAGCTTCTGTACCTTATCTGTTTGATTAATATTGGTATGAATGTGGAAAAGTCTGAGGGTTAGGAACTAAAAGGAAGATGTAGAAATTACGAGTTATAATACTGAGCTCACAAAACTTCCCCAAAATTTTAAATTTGAATCATAACTAATCCCTTACTTTTCACTTTCAAATAAAATTTGCTGATTGTTGAGAACGGTTATTTAAAGTTATTTAATTGAGCGAACTATGCTTCGTTTGTTTACTTGTGTGTCCCAGTGGAGGAGTATTATGAGATAGATAAGTGAAATGATGACAAGACAATCAGTAATTGTAAAGTCTTCAGAGAATTAAATCTCGTGTATTGTGTATATTTTTCTTGTCCCAGGACGCTAGAAATTGTTGCTATTCTAATTAATTAGCAGTAAATACGAAACTATTACAAATAGCTCATTTCTTGAGTGATATCTGGCACCGTGCTGAGATCTGATAAGATTTGTTATTTTTAAAATTCAATATTGTTATTATTCTTGTCTATTTGTTATTTTCGATGGTGTCATCAGCATTATTTAAAATTAATTAGTTCTATACACTGATTAGCCAATATGTTAATGTTGTTTTTCAGTTGCTGACGTCTCATGCAATACGTGTACAGACGCCACCTCGCCATATCCCTGGTGTTGTAGAGGTCACATTGTCATATAAATCAAAACAGTTCTGTAAGGGTGCTCCAGGTCGATTTGTATATACAGGTAAGTTGAATTTTCTGATACTCCCTGAATTGAAGTTATCCCGTCACACTATTCAAACAAGTTACGAACAACCTTTGTTATTTTTAAAATTTAAAATACTTTTACGTGTATCTCCTGATTTTAATCAGTTATATTATACTGTAATACTTTTGGAGTTTTGATTCATTGTGAATCAGTTTTGATAAAACCTACTTCTAATTTGCGAAATCATTTGATATTTGGTACATATTCCTATAAGACTGTATATCAGCATTAGTCAATAAGGTATATACACCAATTTTGATAAAAAAAGGAAACCAGTATTACTACACCGTCATTAAGGGAAGCCTAAAGAATAAAGAGAAAAGAAAAAAGTAGAATTTTCAAAGGTTATTTAATATAAAACATGTTTATTTCATTATCTTTACAGCTTGAATACAATAATCATTTTTATCATAAAAATATTTGGAGAAAGATACATTTCATTTTCAAAACAAGATTACATGAGAAATCTCGTCAATTTTCTGTTTATAATGCAACTAGAGATTCAGTGTGAATATATCCCATGCCATGCTATGACGTGAAACATGTGATTCCCCTCCCCCTTTATAACACGTGCTGAAAATACGATCACATCATGTTTTATACCAACAATGAAATGTTAGCAAATCAACCAAAAAACAAAAGCGACATTCTTGATACATTTTCACGTTGTTTGTTATTAATGGCAACAATCGAGTTCGCGTTACAAACATACTTTAAACAGCTTGTATTCAGGAGAAAACGAAACAAATTATTTTCAAAGAAATTCCACAAATTAAATAATCATGTTCTGAAAATGCTGTCGCTGCGGACATACTTATATTTCCAAACAACTTGATCGATTTATATTTAATACCAAAACTGTGTTAACAAATGTCTGATTACATATAAACTAGTACAGTTTTTTTGAAGTGTTCTATTGTTTCAAGACACGTATTTGATGGTTTAAATCTGTTGTTTCTATATCAATCTGATTATATCGATCAGTACAAAACTGACAAAATACATTAAGCGTTTTTCCACAAACTGTCATCTTCATTTTCATCAACTCCACTTCTCACCAATAGTTAGACGTTATATTGGCAATATTCTACCAATAACAGACACGGTGAAACTATTAAACCAAACGATCACCGTTTGGAAATAATTAAGCACGAAATCTCGTGCCATTCACGGATATGAAGGAGTTTATCGCGCGCTGGGAATGTCTTCTGAAACTGACAAATAAGTCACATGATCAAGTATTATTTCCAAGCTCTGATTTTGTTGAAGAATAAGATTGAACTAATCAGGAGATAAAACTGGGGAATGCAGATAAAGCTTATAAGATTGTAAAGGATAATACGGCTTTATAGAACGTTTATGATACTAAAACTCTGAATAATTTTCAGGCGTTGTACAATGTACAGAATTACATAGAGTTATTTTTGTTGTTTCAGCTTTAACTGAACCTACAATAGATTATGGTTTCCAGAGATTAATGAAATTAGTTCCAAGACATCCAGGTGATCCTGAAAAATTACCAAAGGTGAGCCCTGTTTCCAATGATTTTGTTGCAGGAAACAATTCGTTTTCTGTAACTCAATAAAACAGAGGGACAGATTCTGTTCAATGCGTCTAGGATTTAACAAAGAAAGAAGAATTCGTAATTATTATGATTCAACACTTCATCTTCAATTTCTCGTGTTTTTCAGGAAATCATATTGAAGCGGGCAGCAGATTTAGCGGAAGCGTTATATTCCATGCCTAGAAACCACAATCAGTTATCACTACCTGCACCCCGTTCACCGGCCATGAATAACACGTCACCAATGTCAGGATTCAATGCCTACCCTAGCCAGTTAGCTGTCAGTGTAGGCAGTGTGGCAGATACAGCTTCCGGTCAGTGGGAAGAAGGTTGGTGTCTGAAACGAACCTCCAGAAGTTACTTTCCCAGCTTCAGTTTCTTTCTGTTAAAATTCATTTTACCATGCAAAATCTCCAATTGTACACCATTTACCTTGAGTTAATAATGTCTAAAATTATCCAAAATCCTACAGAATATTTTGAATAAGCTGATCGTGTCATCGTTTGATAGATTATCTCCCTTCCCTAAGTAACTGCTGGAAAAATTGGTTTAATATTTTCTTTTTTACATTTTATATCTCTATTCTCTCTAACAAAGTAATTGAATATTTGGAAAAAAATAAAAGTATCCTATTGTGATATAATAACTATTATCTAAAGATATGTATTTGCTACAATCTTGCCATTATTAAATAAATGATATTGCAAGATTACAAATGATATATATTTCTTGTTTTGTAATAACCAAAACAATTTCCAAGAAATAATTTCCAATAAAATATTTTAATAATTCGATATTGCAAATTTCTGTGGCTACAATATTACATTATGTATGTTTGTAGGTTACAATAGAAGTCAAAGTTCAAGTGTTTCTCCTAGAGGATATGGCTCTAATGGTTCAACACCTCATAGTAATGGTAGTTATACTAGTACACCAGCCATGAATGGTTATCATCATGGGGGTGGAGCACTTGGGAATATGGGTAAGCGAACTTCCATTCTAAACCCCGAACTTTTATAAGCTAACAGTTCTTAAATGTTAATCAGATTAAATCTTTGTTCAAACGTAGGAACGTAACATTGACAGGATGATTGTGAAATTATTATTTCTAATCTATTATGCATGTCATAGAAACAATATAACCTAGAAATAGTTGTAATAATTTTAACAGAAACAATATTGAAATCGCCATTTACTCGTGTGATTCAGCTCTAACAATTTATTTAGTAAAATAATAACAAGTGAATGAATACAATGTTATTTTCAATCAAATCATTACAATAGAAGCAATTACAGTCAATAGGAGCTAGTTTCAGGCTTATTCAAGTCATACTTGTAATCTTCTAGGAAAGTATTACTGGCAAAGTAAATATATAATACTATAGGTCAATACCGAAACTTTTCTTAATATACAATTGAACAAAAAGCCTTATGTCACCTTTTCAACGTATATTAATTGTCCGTTTCTCTACCATCGTTATAGGCAATTCCTTGTCCAAAACAACTTCTTGGAACTTATCGACCTGAATCTAAAACTGCACCAATAATTCAGGCCGTTACAGCTCTAATCATTTCATCATTTATTTTTCCATTCATCAACCGAGAGAACAAATTACTCAATTTGACGGATGACAGGAATAAAGGAAGAAATAAACAGATAAATAGACGAATAATAGTCTTGGTTATATTGGTCGTATTGATCATATGATTTATTATATTTGCTATGAATTTAATACATGACAATTGGTATTCTCTAACTTTTGGTCTTTATTCCTTTGATATTTTCACCTTGACATCAGAAATATGCTCATGTCTTATGAAGCAGTAACTGAAATGTAGTTTATAAGTCTTGTAGCTTCACTATATGCCATACTAGTATACTATTCATAGTACCCTAGAATGTCAAAGATCCAATATTGGATTTTCATTAGCATGTTTTAATACGTGACAGATGGAAGACGCTTGTGATATTTTGTATTGTTTTGGCTTTTCTGATTCATCCCAGCCATTGTCTAACCGATTTCACCAGACTTTTTCTATTGAACAAATAGCTAATTTAACTTTGAACATTTTGTGCAAGACAAAAAACATGCCTTTCATCAAGACCTCTAAATATATTGATCGTTAACAGAATTGTAGGTCAATATCTAAATTCTAAGTGCTCAAAATGTATTTCATAGCTCTGGTTTGCTACTGCAATGATTTGTTGCTTTTGCTTATATTATATTATACTTCTGGGATTTGTCTTTGTCTCTTACGAGATGTGCATGTTGCAGAAAAGTAGACCGTAAAACTCATTTCATTTTCTTATGGGGTTTGGGGTTTTGCATATGATTTCAATTTCCAACACATCTTCTGAACAGGCCTACATCAATTTTAGAATTTTTAAAAATGTTATAAAACCAATCGAGAAAAGTAATTTCTTGAATGTCAAATGACATGTGAATATTTTTTTTTTTTAGGTTTAGACCACTTTTTACGTGATGAAGCTAGTAGATTAGGAGGTATGTACGTGTTAAGTGTTTTAAATTTTTGCTATATTGTTGTCTTGTTATATTCTAATTATATTGTATACTTTGGCTTTTAGTTACTTTTATTTCTAACAGACTCTTTTTAGATGTATTATTTAATTTTATGTTATATTAATTTTATTTTTAATTTCTTTATTTTTTTTTATTTTTGTACTTAGTTAATGCACCCCATTCGCCGCCTATGCATAATATAGGATCACAGGGATTGGGGTCGTGTACACCAGGAATCTTTTCCTTCTCACCTGCCAATATGATCACAGCCGTCAAACAAAGAAGTGCTTTCGCTCCCGTCTTAAGAGGGGGGAATAGTCCCCCACCAACCTTTCCTGGTATCCAAACTAGCGGTTGGGCACATCCTCTCATACACGTTAGTATTATTTCAACATCCCTTCCATCAAATGCCTTAAAGGTATCCTACTAGAATAGAGCTACATTACATGACGAACGTGATGATGAAAATTTCTGGGTGAAATCACCTGTTCGAAATTCAAATGCACACTGTTAAAATTTCTTGTACGTTTCCTTAAAAAGTTTCTTCTCAACTTTTATTTGGTGGTATATGCGGCCCCGATCTCGATCTTCCCTTTGCTTTTTGTTGGTTAATATTTTCTATTATTATTTCTAGATATTGTTCAAAACTATTTCTTATTGATGTTGCTCAAAATTTTCAAAACAAAAATTTTAGGTTCTCATAACTTAACTGAATTTTCGAATTTTTTTTCAGGAATGACTTCCATCGTAGGTTCACCGTTTACCAGTGTTAATCCATTTGCCTTGCCAACTTGTAACTCACAGGCATACAGTGGTTCTATAGTGTCTCCTGCTAAATGACATGGTCCACGATACGATGTTCAACAAACTACTGTAGAACTTAGGAATCATGATTTGTAAATCATATTCACGTCAAGTGGTGCAGAGTATAAAGTAATTGTGCTGTGCTCGAAGGAAAAAAACTGAGAATTGTTTTAGACTTGAACATTTTTCTCTCTTTTCTGTAAAAGAGTATTTCAGTATTCATGTTGGAACTTTATATAAAAATATATTTAATTGTGATACTCAAAATTCTATCTTGCCAGGAACCATCTCCTAATGTAAATATATAGTATAGATTTCTTCTTAGCTCATATCATCTTGCTCATAACATAGAATCTAGACCAAATCTAGTCAAAGTGCTAACTAGAACAAAGTATGAGTGCTGTAAGGGGAAGTGCTAACATGAACGAGGGATGCATAATAAAAACCAGTCAGCTTGGTCGAAATTCAGAAATATGTTACGTCACATCTACTTACACTAATGACAGTACTTACATTTATAATATACTCAAATAAAGTTGTACTTAATGGAAGTTAAAGAGATAGATTGTATAATAATTCTTAAAAATTAAAAAGAATTATTTCTTATTTGAAATGTTTTTGTTGTTACATGGTGTACAGACTATTTTATCCATTTTTTAATCGTTATTATATTTTATAATTTTATAATTATACCAAATCAAAATACAACTATTATAATGAGTTGCACTTGCATGAGGTTAAGTGAAAATTGTACAGAAACCAAAAAGAGAAAGTTGAACTTTCTAGTCAATAAAGCTAATGATGCTTAATCTAGTCAAATATTTGAAATGCTCATGGTTAAGACCGCTATGATATGTTTATTTTGAAATCGCTTCTGTAGCTGACAACTATACATATATATTTTTTTCTTTCAATTTTATTGTCTGATTTCATATGTCATTGGGGTGGTTATTTAAATGCAACATATGTCTAACCATTTGTTATATCCTCATTTGCAATATATCATTTTCTTATATTCTAAAAATACTCATTAATATGTACATAATTATAAAGTGTGTTATTTCATAAATATTCATAAGATAGAAGACAATGAAGCCATGTATTTTTAACGTGACGTCGTTGTTTAAGAGGCGTTGTGCAATATTCAAAATAACCAATTAATTTTTTGTCTACTGTTTTAATCATTTAAATATTCTGTCTCAAAATATTTATTATATTAAATAAAAAAGTTGTTTTTATATTAAAAAAGTATGAGATTATGATATATGCTTTACTTTCTTTTTATTCTGCTTCTGTTTGAGCTGTTGAAGATAGTCAATGAATGCCATGTCGTGTGGAATGATGGAAATTTTATCAAGATTTCGATTTCTGTATTTTGAGGGATCATTTACAATACACAGCCTGTAGCACGTCGATTCGTTGTTCCATCAGAACGAATTGACATTCTTTCCTTGTCAGTCCCCTCTCCCGACCTACAGGTGAAAGGGTAACTGATCTCAGCTTACATCGGGACCGAAACACAGCCGTTGGAGGTTCATCTTAGGCACGTTACGGAAGTACTGAGCAATAATAACTAGAAAGTTGCTCTTGGCATTGAATGCGACGTCTCTCGTACTATACATGAGAATGTTTATAGTCCCAGTCTATAGAAAACATGATTATAGAGCATAATGAACATGTTCACAGAAAATAACCAAAAGACCACAGATCAATCTCTCGGATGGGTCACGAGCTGTTGAAATGAATCCGACATCTAACCTTTTAGATAGCCGATATTCCAGTTATAGAGCTGGAAACAGTATTACCTCCTTGGACTTCACCATAAATGACATTTACTTATCTGATCATTCTTACAAGTTTACAACGACATTCCAGTTACAAAACAGACATGAATTTTGTTAAATGAACTTCAAGAGCCACTGACACAGAACTAAATTTTAATCACGTTGGAATATGATTTTACTGTAATTCAGAAATGAAAACAATCTAACTTCAGAAAACTGTCATTGACCAAAACACAGTTCTCTGTGTAGCTGTAAGTATCTATAGATTTATGGGGGTCAAGACTTCGTCAGTGGGGGTGGAATTATTCAATCATGGTGCGGACTATTTTGTGATTCGTTCATTAACAATGCCTTTGTCGATTAACTGTTTTCAGTTTTGTATGAAAAGATTGTTACGACATTTTTAAGGTATTTAATATGTGTGAATGTTTTCTAATCACAATATAGCATTTGTATCAGTTCAATCCCTTGAACTCTATTGAAATTCGATAAATATATTTTCATCAGTTATGTCCCTTGATATCTTGGCTACTGAATAAACCAATAAGTCAGAACTGGGATATTTTGACTACATAATTAACTACTACAAACAGCTGGAGTATCTTTAATGACTAAATAAACTGGAGTATCTTGGCTACAGAATTAACTACTTAAATAGCTAAACGATTGGAAATTCTTGGCTTCAGAATAAACCAATAAGTCAGAACTGAGATATCTTGGCTACAGAATTAGCTACTGAGTCAGAACTGGGATATCTTGGCCACAAAATTAACTACCGAGTCAGAACTGGGATATCTTGGCTACAGAATTATCTACTGAGTTAGAACTGGGATATCCTGACTACAGAATTAACTACTGAGTCAGAACTGGGATATCTTGGCTACAACATTAACTACTGAGTCAGAACTGGGATATCTTTGCTACAGAATTATCTACTGAGTTAGAACTGGGATATCTTGGCTACAGCAATAACTACTGAGTCAGAAGTGGGATATCTTGGCTACAGAATTAACTACTGAGTTAGAACTGGGATATCTTGGCTACAGAATTATCTACTGAGTTAGAACTGGGATATCCTGACTACAGAATTAACTACTGGGTAAGAACTGGGATATCTTGGCTACAACATTAACTACTGAGTCAGAACTGGGATATCTTGGCCACAGAATTATCTACTGAGTTAGACCTGGGATATCCTGACTACAGAATTAACTACTGAGTCAGAACTGGGATATCTTGGCTACAGAATTATCTACTGAGTTAGAACTGGGATATCCTGACTACAGAATTAACTACTGAGTTAGAACTGTGATATCCTGACTACAGAATTAACTACTGAGTCAGAACTGGGATATCTTGGCTACAGAATTATCTACTGAGTTAGAACTGGGATATCCTGACTACAGAATTAACTACTGAGTCAGAACTGGGATATCCTGACTACAGAATTAACTACTGAGTCAGAACTGGGATATCTTGGCTACAGAATTATCTACTGAGTTAGAACTGGGTTATCCTGACTACAGAATTAACTACTGAGTCAGAACTGGGATATCCTGACTACAGAATTAACTACTAAAAAGGAGCTGGAGAACCTTAATTACAAAATTAACGACTAAAAAAATGGAGTATCTTTAAGAATTAACTACTGAATAAAGACTGAGATATCTTGGATACATAATAAACTACTGAGTCAGAACTTGGATTACAAAATTAACTCCTAAAATATAGCTGAAGTATCTTGGCTACACAATTCATTAAGGGGTTACGGCCGGGATGTCTATAAATAAACTGGAATACGCCGTCATGAAGCATTTAATTTTCTTATACTGTGAAAATACATCATGCAATAATGCCAAAGAACGAAGAAGCATCAGAATAATATACCTTGTAAGGACTGATAGCATCAAGTAATCTACTTTAGGCCTCTACTTGGAGTGTGATATTCTCATTAATTTTATATCATAATCCAGACTGTCCAGCACTCATTGACGAAAAATCGGGGATAATTTATGTTTAAACATTTTAGAACATAAATAGGGCTAAATTGGCAATTTGTATAGCTAAATCCGGGCAGTTTTACACATTTAAATTGATTAATTTTGCACACTTGCGCCAGGATTCAGAGTGGGGATCTTCCACAACCTAAGAAAATTTTAAAATGACGTTTTATTCGCTTGCATCTTAGCCCATTCCAAACAGCATTCCTGTTTCCTTGATTTCAACTGCCTTTAAGGAATTTCAGTAAAACTAAGAAAATGTAGGAATTTTAGGGCCACTGGACAGCCTGTTGATCCCTAATTTCAACTCTTTGATTTTATGAATGGCTATTGTGAAAGAAATGTTTCGGTACTATGTACCGTAACATCCATCTTAAAATAAAACGACAATCAAACCAGTTGTGAATAGTCATTGGCCTGATAAATAACACTGACCACTACCTCTACCAGAAATCATCAACTATTCAAAGCCTTAATCAAGTTTACTTTAATATCTTAAGTGCGATTCACCTTTCATGAAAACAGGTGTATAGGTTTTATACCTGGGGGTAATTTTGAAATTTCTGGGGGGTAATGGGGAGTTTTGAAGCATTCAGTTTGTGGACATTTTTAATTAATTTATATAGGAAGACACGTGATACTTACGTATTGATGTTAAACATCTAGTGACGTCATAATACAATAAGTGGCTCGAGAAGGCATTATCAAATACGTTGTTTATCTCAATGGTCGCCGACTGAATTGAATGCGTTTGTGGATATGAGTAACACCCCTTTGCCAGAAAACGGCTCTTCTAGTATAGTATGATTGGGTATATTGGGCCCGAGCCCAATGCAGGGTTC